TCGATAAAACTCTATATTTTTGTTTTTAATTACTGGATGGAGTTAAAAATTTTACAGAGTTCATAAAACATATTTATTTAATTTGACCGTTGTGATTAATAATTATAGTGGTTAAAAAATAAATTTCACAATTGAGAGAAATTTCAATGTCATTTTGTTTATGTTTGTTTTTAAATTATTTAGCCACTAAAAGGGCACAAGAGCACGCTATTGAAAAAACTTGAGAGAACCTCAAGAAAAAGTATTTCACCTCTTGGAATAAATTATTTAGCTGACGCACTAAATTCCATTTCACTTTATTTTCCTACACGTCTATAACCAAATTTCAGAAACTGAAATAAAACCCCAGCAACAACAGAATAATATGAAAATGGGACATGTGAGTGACCTGAACAAGATAGTAAAAGATTCCAAGGAATCTTGATTGAACGTCGACGGGAGACCCGATCTTGTGAAGGAAATGAACTCGTTCATCATGACAATTTCCAACTCCTGGCGCCCCACCCGATCGGGTTCCGGCCAGGTGTTGTCGTCCTCTTCATGATTTCGCTCTACGCGATTATACGACGGCACTCACATAAAACGGCGGGAGTGAGGCACACCTCCTTGCGGATTATGATATCGATTTTGTAGTTGGAGTTGCTGGCGTAACGGAGCTTGTCGTCGGGTCTGAACTTAAATTCAAGAAACTCGTAGCCGAACTTCCCCTTGTGCCCCACGTAATATCTCAGGTAGAATTCCCCTTCTCCGAATTCCCCTTCTCCTCTTCGCTCCCCATTTTTCAGATTACAAACTCCAACTTCTTCTTTTCTCTTCCCTGCTATGCTCCGTTCTGTTTTCCTTTCACAACGGAACAATTACGAATGTGCCAAGATTTAAATTCTTTGAATGAAAAGAAAATGTGCCCAGATTTAAATTCTTTGAAAGAAAAGAAAATGTGCCAAGATTTAAACTCTTTGAAAGAAAAGAAAATGTTGAGACTTTTGATAAGTTTATTTAAGAAAAGAAAATGAAGATAAAAAAGAACTTATGTGTGAGATATTTTTAAATATTTGTTTATAAAATACGTTTTGATTTAGTTCGACTCAGTTTGGTTCGGTTCAGTTCGGACTGGTTCGGTTCGGCTTGACTCGGGCCAGCTTGGTTAGGTTCGGCTCGGCTCGAATCGGTGTGACTCGGTTCAGTTCGGCTTGGCTAGACTTGATTTCGTTCGGTTTGGCCCGTCACGACTTGATCCGGTTCGGCTTGCTAAGGCTCAGCTCAATTTGTTTGGTTCGGTTTGGTTTGGTTTGGTTTGGTTCAGCTCAGTTCGGCTCTGCCAGACCTGGCCCAAAACAACTTTATTTTGCTAAGTTCAGCTCTGCTCGACTCGGCTTGGCATGGGGCTAAGCTCGACTCGACTTTGATTGGCTCCAATGGATTCGGTTAAGCTCGATTTGGTTTGGTTTGGTTCATTTCGGTTCGATTTGGTGTGGTTCTGTTTGGTTAAGTTTGGCTTAGTCCAGTCAAGTTCGGTTCGGCTCGGTCCAGTTAAGTTTAGTTCGGTCCGACTCAATTTGGTTTGGCTTAGTTAGTTAGGTCCGGTCTAGTTCGATTTGGGTTGGTTTGGTTTCGTTCGGTCTGATTTGGTTCGGTTTCGTTCGGTCTGATCCGGTTCGGTTTCCTTCGGTCTGGTCCGTTCCGATTCGGTTCAGTTCAGTCTGGTCCGATTTGGTTCAATTTGGTCCGGTCCGGTTTGGTTTGGTTAGATTTGGTTATGTTTGGTTCGTTGCGGTTCGGTTTGGTTTGATTCGGTTTGGCCTGGTCCGGTCTGGTTCGGTTTGGTTTGGCCCGGTTCAGTTCGGTTCGGTTCAACTCGATTCAGTCTGGTTCGGTTCAATCTGGTTTGGTTTGGTTTGGTTCGGTCTAGTCTAGTTTAGTTTATTTCTGTTTGGTTTGGTTTGGTTCGGTTCAGTCGTGTCTGGTTCGACTTGGCTTGGTTCGTTTCGGTCTCATTCAGTTTGGTTTGTTTTGGTTTAGTTCGGTCCTACTCGGCTCGGTTCGGCTCTGGTCAGCTTGACTCAGCTTGGTCGGCTCGGCTCAACTAGGTTCAATTTGGTTTGGTTCGTTTCGGTATGGTTGAGTTTGATTTGGTTTGGTTCAGTTCATTCTAGTTATGTTCAGTTCGGTTCGATCTGGATCGATTCGGTTTGATCTAGTCTGGTCTAGTTCGGTTTGGTCCAGATCGATTCTTTTCGGTTTGGAATTGTTTGGTTCAGTGGTCTGGTTTAGTGTGGTCCAATTTGGTTCGGTTCGACCAGGTCTATTTCGGTTCTATTTGGTCTAGTTTGGTTTGGTTTGGTTCAGTTTGTTTGGTTGGGTTTGGTTCAGTTCGATCCTGCTCGGTTCGGTGAGGCTCAGCTCGACTGGGCTTGGCTAGCTCGCCCTTGGCTCGGGCTCAGTTCAATTTGGCTTGATTTAGTTTGGTTCGATTCAGTTCAGTTTGACTAAATTCGGTTTGACTCAACTTAATTCGGTTTGACTCAATTAGGTTCGATTTGATATAGTTCACACTATTATTATCACGTAACACTACTACGTAAGTTTGAGACGTGACAATTTTTTTAAAACATTTTAAAAAATAAAGAAAAATAATTTAAAAAATTCAAAAAAAATCACAAACTAACTATATTTCAATTTTTCAAAATTAAAAACTCAATTTAAAAAAAAAATTATTTAAGAAAAATCATGAAAAATAAAGACCATCACCTTGTTAAACCAAATAAATTTAACACTTAATCAAATTTAAAAATCTAAAAAAAAAAGTTTTCGTGTTTCATCTCCTTCGCCTTCTCCAGGATGAAAGGCAGTAGCAGTCCACCACTATTTTCTTGTGCTTATTGGGGAAGCTGAGGTCGAAGAACTGCTTTTGGGATCTAAAAGAAATGTTGTCGGTGGTGTGGTGGTTGGGGTTGTTCTTCTCGGACTCGACACAGATGAATCTCCACTTGAAGCAGTCCACCACCTTCTCACCCTTCTCTAAGCGAATGGTTAATTTCTTCTCCTTGGGACTCCTTGGGCCGCTTGAGAGCACCGTAGTACAGCCAAAGCATGAGCTCAACAGTGCCACCAGATAAGGCAGTGCGGGAAACTTTCAGTGATTTTTTTTTTCCTGTAAATTTAGCAGTCACATTGATTATGGTACACTAAAACTTATTGAAAGGAAATTGTAAGAAACGAATCCCTTAATTATGTGGATGTTACACTGTGTTCATATACTTACAGGACCATGAAGGAGAAGACGTTCCCTGCACATCAAAAGGTTAAATTCTTGGATTTTGGAAAAAGAACGAGGTTCGTCAAAATTTATTATAGTAAATTAAGCAACAGTTAAAACACATTGCGTTAAAGAAAATGCTACATGTAATTAAAATTACTAGAGAAGGGTTATTGTTAATTATGAAAATGATACACAGAGATACTGAAAAGGGAAATGATGAAGAAAATGACAAAGAAGTGAAATTCAATTTTTTTTATCCGATTAAGTGGATTTGTTTTTTTCGAATTATGTATGAATTTTTTGCACACTATTATTGCTTGCATTTGCATACAATTAGCAGAGGAGGTTTGTTAATTTGGCTTTGAAAGTATATAAATAAAAGTAGGGATAAAAATAAACCTTAAGGTACAAGCAACTAATTTATGGATACAACAATTTTATCTTAAAATAAAACAAAATCACAGATATTACTAAGCTAATGTGTATTGATCTTGATATTAGCAAAGAAATGGGAGTGTCCTAGAATCAAGCTTACTTGGCACCGTGTTATTAATGTGAGAAGGGATTCAGGGGAACTAATATCCATGTATGACAATGATGCACTAGTTAAATTGTTTAGAGTTTAAGATTTAGAGTTAAATTGTTTAGAGTTTAAGATTTAGAGTTTTAAGGTTTAGAGTTTTAAGGTTTAGGATTTACGGTTTAGGATTTACGTGGTGACCCTTTGCTCAACATATTATGTTGTTTAAAATCACGTGTTCTACTTTTAGTTGCTTTCACATAAAATAATTTTTACAATTCTGATAAAAATTTCAATGTCACTTTGATTATATTTGTTTTAAAACCACTTGTTTGATCTAAAACTTACACACAAATATTTTGTTAACTTGATCGTCGAGTTTTTTTATTATAAATATGTATTTATAGAAATCGATTTCACAAGTATTATTCTATTTCTTGAATTGTTTTAGTAAAACATTGATTTTCATTTATTTAATCGTTAGATCAAATTTGAATTTTGGAGATATTTCATGAAGTATTTTGATTGTTGTGTTTGATAATCAGAAGCATGTAGTCAAATAAATGATTTTTATATTTATTATAGAAATTTAAATGTCATTCTCTTTACGTTGTTTTATACCTAGTAAAACTTTGTTTTATATTTTTTTTAACTGTTTGATTAGATTGAAATTTTTATACGTAATACATGATATTCTACTTTAATTGTTAAAATTGTCAATTAGAGGTCTTTTGGTTGAAAATATATATATCTTGTAACCTTAAGAAAAATTTGATCGAAACTTAAACGACGAATTTTTGTTATAAAAATCGTGATAAAATAAATTGTTATATAATATCGTGAATTGTTGTAACCTGTGAACGAGTGTAAACTCAAGAAAAAGAGGAAAAATGGTGTGAAAAGTCTAATTATTTAAATTATAAAAGAAAAAAACTAAATGTAATTAATTATTAATTATAAATAAACATTTAAAAATATACGTTTCATGTTCCATAAAAACAATTAATCTATTCTAATTGATGATGATTGAAGTTTTTAAATATTTTTACATGGTTTTATTTTAATAACTTTTTTACATACTAACTAATTTTAAGCTAGTATTTTCTACTTTAAAAATACAAATATATCCACATTATTTATGACATTGTTTGAGTAAAATCAAATAAGTGGACCACAAAACGAATGCTAACATTTCAATTATGGATGTTAACAATAATGCAAGAAAACTTATGATAAATAAAAGGGGAGGGGAAGGAAAAATTGGAGAAGTGGGCATAGTAGCCAAATCTACCGCTTGCAACCCCAACGACCCCGCAAGAGCAAACCCCGGCGACCTCACGAACGGCCGACCAACTGGAACCACCACGATTCCAACTCTGGCAAGTCTTTGCAGCGACTGTGGCTCTGCATCATTGAAAAGTTCTCTTGCTCTTATCGGTAAATTCTCTTCCTCTGTTTTGCTTTACGTGCTGAAAAATGTCTTGCTGCTGTTTTGTGATTTATGGAGTTGAAATTAATCAGCATTAGTCTTGTTCTTTCAGTAGTGGAAGCTTGCACCAATTTCAGTTTGTAATCTGAATCATCTACTGAAATATAATTTGAAATGCTGTTAAAGATACACCATCAGGACAACTACGATGGGAAATGCTTGATTTATTGGACATTTGAAATGCATTTTAGGATTATATTTCTTTTGTTTCTAAGTAGAATTTTGCGGCGACTGCTATTCTTGATTATCAAGGTTCGTTTTAATACGTGGACTATATGGATAAGTAATTTATTGAGTGGGTTTATGTGAATGCCGCCTAAATGGGTGTATGCTGAACCGCATACCCAGCTCCATTTTCATTTTGGAGAGAATTCATTGTTGAAAATAGATAAAATAGTTGGCCGTTAATTTGTAGAAAATGGGATAAAATTAAAGGTTGTTTTGTGTATGTGATGCTGAGCAGTTAAAGCATAATATTTGTAATATTAAATGTTTATTGAAGAAGGATAAAACAAATTCACCAAATGCGTACACCAATTAGGGATTTCCGCATTAACTAATTTGTTGTGTCAAGGATATATGTGTCAAGGATACATCTTATCATTTGTTAAAACGCATTTGTGATTACTAGCTTACATGTTTTTTTAAGAGTAATTCTCAGCCAACTTTAACAAAAGATGCAGGACTCCCAAGAGCCAAGACATGAATTTTGGGTGGGTCAACGAGTGCGTGCATTGGGTGATCCTCAACGAATTGGTACAGTTAAGTATGTGGGACCTATAGAAGGCTATTCAGACACTTGGGTTGGAGTTGACTGGGACAACGGAGAAGGCAAACATGATGGATCCATGAATGGTGTCCGCTACTTCCATGCTAAATCAGATAGATCAGGGTCATTTGTTCGTCCCCACAATCTAAACCAAGGGATTTCATTGCTTGAAGCTCTTGAAAGTCGATATAAAAGTGACTCTACAAAAGATGAAGAGGGTATATCTCAGGCTTAAATTCATTTGTGTCTAAAACATTTATATTTAGGGGCCATGAATAAGGGAAAAAATGTTTCATTTTAAATTTTGGTACAACAGAAAAGAAGTCAACTCTATTGTAGTTGAGCTGTTTTCTTTACCGTTGTTACCAAATTGTTACTGTAGTTGTTTGGTTTTGTTGTTTTCATTCTTCGAGGTTGCAGTTGGGGTGAAGGGGGAAAAGGGAGGGGGGTGGAAGGTTTCTTTTGTTCCACATGTCTTGAATAGGTGAGTATAGGTTGGAGGATAACATTTAATTTTAATGCTAATTTCTATTAAAAAACTCTACTACAACTTGTTTCCACATTGGTTGCATGGTGCAGGATTTAGTTAGTACAATTTTTGTAATTATATTTTATTATTATAAATTCTCTAAATATGTGGTAGAGAAAATCATCTAAGACATGTACAACTGACAAATTATGAATTTTGAACTCCATAATATTCCTGCCTATTGATATATCTATTTCCAGATTGTTAGAAATTGATTTGGTACGAAGCCCTGAGACCATTTTTGTGTTCTTTTAGTAATATTTTTTCTTTCTTTCAGGTTAAGAACTGAGAAGGTGTTCACAATGTTTTTGAAAATTTACCCCCATCCATTCTAAAATATTTTTTTACATTCTAGTCTGTCTTCTGTACATCTTTTTTCTGTATGCATACACTGACAAAACCTGGAAAATAAAATGTATTTTTTCTTTGTTTTGAGCAGATGAAATGTATGTCCTTTCAACAAGCAACCAGCGAGTATCTGTTCAACTTTTGGGTAAAGATCAAATTCAAGATAAGCTAAGAAGATTTGAGGAATTAACTAGTGTATCATTGTCATACATGGGCATTAGTTCCCCTGGAATCCCTTCTCACATTAATAACACGGTGCCAAGTAAGCTTGATTCTAGGACACTCCCATTTCTTTGCTAATATCAAGATCAATACACATTGGCTTAGTAATATCAGTGATTTTGTTTTATTTTAAGATAAAATAGCTGTATCAATAAATTAATTGCTTGTACGTTAGGTTTTATTTTTGGTTAACCTGTTTCAAACTGGAGTTATAATTTGTAACTTTGATTATTTGATATCATTTTCTATCCTGTTGCATTTTCAATATAAATAATGAGTTCTGTTGCAATTTTCTCTCTTTGATATCTTCAGGAGCCTTGGACTTTAACCGCCTTTTATTTTTTGTTGATAGATATAAAAGAACTTGACCTGACTGGGAACTTGCTTTCAGAGTGGAAGGTATGTTCTGCAACCAGCTTTTGTCTAGCAATCAATCCCTGCTACTGTTGCAGCTTCTTATTAACTTCTTTTCAACATATCATGCAAGTCTTACCAATAACTTCTATGATTTGTGTTTCTGGTTCAACTTATTTTGAAGAAATAATAACTTTTTTTATTAGCTTCCTAATAGAACTTTTGAAGAGAAAAGTACAATTACTTCATAGAAAATAAGCTTTCTTTTGTGAAAACTGGATCTGTTTTTCTATTTCTAATTGCATTTTGGTTGAAATGTGTTTATTATGAATATCTCCTTTATATTTTAATATGAGATTACGATCACTAGGATTTATTAAATTCTACTACGTTTTCTTTTTGTATGATAATGGATTAATTGGTTTTAGCGTATTTGATTTTTGGTACAATGGTGCACTAATTTGATAATATTTCTACTACTGCAAACTACCAAGGCACTTCCTCACTCTTTGTTAAAATAGGTTCAGAGTAGGTCAAAGTAAGCTTTATTCTAAAGCTTTTTTGGATAGTACTCTTCTATTGTCATTGTATCATATAGATCTGCTGCATATTAACATGGTATCAAAACCATTGGTTATAGCCTAACCTAGCGAAATTTGATATTTGTTGGGTCTATTGTTCCACCCACTATCGGCCGGTATCGAACCACTCATTAATGTCTAATTCTACACTCGAGATGTATATATTTCAGCTCGAAGGGTGGGTGTTGGAAGTCCCATCTCTACTAGAGATAGGGCCAAATCACAACATATAATAAGTGGGTGTAAATTTTACCTTACAAGCCGATTTTGTGGGGTTGAATTAGACATAAAGTCCACTTCTTAACAAATGCCAAAGTTTCACCTTTCTCTCTCTCTAACTCTCACACACACATACATCCTACAATCCTTTTTCGATTTTCATCCAAAATTGTTGTGGTGTTATATATTTGTCCAAAAATGTATGGATTGTGATAATCAAATATGTTAAATATAGGGAAAGCAATATTCTGGTTTCAGTTGTGAGAAGAAACCAACAATCATGTATTATTAGGTATAAGCGTAATAATAAATGTCATGTTGGTATTTAAGGGATAAGTCAAGAGCAATAATGTATTGTTAGAATGTGATTGAAAATAACTTATTTTGCAATAGGATATTTTCTTAGAAAGTGAACTTTAAGCTTAACCTCACAAAACCAGTTTGGTAAGTGAGGTTTGCACTTAGTTATATACTATAATTTAGTCACATGTTTAGTCGATGTGAGATCTCCAACATCTCATCTTAAGCTCAGAAGTGGACATCTTGAGCATGAGACTAGATATTTGTAGGTGGTTTGATAGTGGATGACACAATAAGTCCAATAAACCTAGCTAGAATTGAAGTTTAAGCCTAACTCAATCTCACAAAACTAGTTTGGTAAGCTGAGGTTTGCACTAATTTATATATTCTAATTAAACACATTATAGTCAATTTGAGATCTCCAACATATTTGATAGTTGGTAGGGTGTGTAATTAGGCAAAGGGTGTTGTTATTTGCAGTTTGTGGACAGCATACTCTTTGTATAAGCCTGTATGAGACAACAAGCACATTGCTGTATTGCATGCCATTTATGTGCTCGGCGTTATATTTTATTGGTTTATCAGTTGCTCTTATGTCAACTATGGGAGTGTCTTAAGTGATTTCCCATTTGTTATGTGTCAAGGGATTGGACAACCTTGCTATATTTCTTTCTTCTTTTTTTCTAGTTACAAAGGATGTCTAGACGTTATGTAGGGGGAGGTGGAGGGGAAGTGAAGTTTAATGTGGAGACAAAAAGGTCTTAGTGGGACTTCAACATAGCAAGGCTAATGGACTACAGTATATTTCATTTTTTGTTTAATCTTCTTTCCTGAATTGTTATGTAGAAATCTTTTTAACTATAGTTCTTGCCCTTTTTTTATCCCTTTTCCACTGTTCATGTACGAGATCCCTTTTACTTAGTTTTTTTTTGGTCTACCATTTTGTTAGTGATTGATTGAGGGTACTTGCCATTTACTTTCCTTTCAATTGATCTCTTTGCAGGATGTTGGCACAATTTGTGAACAGTTGCCTGCTCTGAGGACAATCAATTTATCCAACAATTTAATGTCACCCTATAAAACCAATCTTCCAATACTGAAAATCATCCAAGTTCTGGTTGTAAATAATACTGGCGTAGATTGGGAACAGGTTCCTTCTATATCTTTTCTAATGTTTCTTTAATAAATTTTCTTGATGGTATAAATAGAAATTGCTAAATATTCCTTTTTAAACTGGGCAGGTTGAGTTGCTTAGACAATCGCTGTCAACAATTGAAGAGCTACATATAATGGGAAACAATATAAGCAGAATACTGGTATGTTATCTTTCGTTTGGTATGCTTGCCAATTATCTTAAAGCTGTAGGCTTAGAATCTTCCTCCAATTTGAGGACAGATTAAAACACATTGGAAACTTACACAATCTTTTAAGTACCCCGGAGCCTGAATTTCAATGTTCAGTTTGGGGCATCTGAAGAACTGCTCTCCTTCTCTCATATTTATTTACTATCTCAAGTGATTGCTTTAGAATGCAAGCTGGACATATTTAAGGAATAGTGTTGCGGATATAATCCAAACATTTCAATATTTCTCAGCCTTTATAATGGCTGTTTCACATTGAGATGTTTTTTTCTCTTATCTGGCTGACTGGCCAGTTCGATGTGCTACACTATTTCTGTTTTAGCATTAAAATATGGTGAACTTTTTTTTTTCGTATGGAGATAATTCCTTTTGTACGTATTAGGTTTTCCCTTTCGTGTTTAATTTTATGTTGCTCTTCAGTTCCTGGTCAACTTTTAAATATAAATTACTAGCATTCTAAAGCCTTCTAATTTTCCTTTTCTGTTCAGCCCGGGTCATCCTCTACGGTTCAGGGATTTGATTGTCTGCGGCTGTTGAATTTGGAAAACAACTGTATAGATGAATGGAATGAAATCATGAAGCTTTCTCAGCTAAGATGGTCGGTAATGGCAGTTTTGTTTACTTCTAGAATACAGTCCTGACACCATTTGGAAACGATTCTATCTTAACTTTTAACCACATCTAACTTCAATAAAATATACTTCCATGTTGATCATACCTAAAATTATAACATAGGACTTGATCTAACCAGTTAACAATTTAGTTAATACATTATAATTTCAGTTAACTACTGACTGAGTTGTTGGTGTTTGTAATCTTGTAAATTGTGACTATGATATATTGTGTAAGAAATATTGTAATTAAGATGTAATGAGCTGTATAATTATGTAACTCTTGTTTATTATATTTATAACTCTAATTATAAATAAGAGCTTCTGCTGTGTACTTAAGACACGGATTCATTCATATGACTCTTGGTTTTCTACTTCTCAAAAACAGTTAGCATCATGGTGAAGTATATAGTTAGCTTGAAATATTGTTTAGAAGTCCCAGGGGGTATCTGTATCACTGGAAGTACTGATTTTATCTTAGAACTGGCCATAAGTATTCTTTTCTTCTTTGTTCCTGTATTTCTTCCTCAGATCAGTGCCCCTGCTTTTGGTTAGATTTGTTTAAGTCAGTCGATTTGATTTATTTATACTTGGTTATCTTTTTCAGTTTGGAGAAGCTTTATTTAAACAAGAATTGTTTGAATTCTCTATTTTATCCGGATAATAATGAGCGGTATGAATCAGAAGTTACATGCTATAAACCCTTCCAAAATCTATGCCGCCTTCTATTGGGTAATATTATAATTTTCCTCTTGATAAATATCATTTTCTACATATTCCAATGAAATCTGGATTGTGGATACCAGTTGAAGGCTTTCAAATCATGTTTCAGGTAATAACAACATTGATGATCTGGCCTCCATTGACTCATTAAACTTGTTTCCTAGTTTGGTGGTAAGGTTTATACTGTGAAGTGTTGAACTGGTTTACATATTTAATATAAATTCTTGAGTACGCATGCAATGGTTACTTTGATGTATCTGTAATGATGAGTCTAGGACTGCAGCCTGATATGATCCTAAGAAATTAAAGAAATTGAACTTCTCTTGTGAGTTATAATTAACTTATGCATTCAAACTTTTATGGAAGTTATCTTCTTCAAAAAGTTTTGGTGGAAAAGTTGGTTTTAACTTTTGAAGAAGTTTGATCAATTTTACTTTTTGGTCTCTTGTTCTACAATTGTTTGCTTGCTGAGAAGTTTATTGGACCATGGTCTATATCAAATAATCCATTTGAAAATGGTAAATTGGGGATACAATTCAAGATTATTTTGTAGCTACAGTTGCCGAAATTATGTGTGCTGGTCCATTACCTTTACAATCTTCCTTTGAGAAAGTAATTGACTTGCTTATAATTTATCTTTCCTCATTACCAAAGGGACCATTTTCTCCTTATTTTCTCTTTCACTGGTTTATTTTAGACTGAATTTTGCAATGCTAGCTTCAGTTCTAATTACTTATCTTTAATAACAACGAAGGATATCAGGCTTTCTGAAAACCCAATTACTGATCCTAGAAGAGGCGGGGTTCCAAGATTTGTTTTGATAGCTCGTTTAGCAAAAGTTCAGATATTAAATGGGAGTGAGGTATGACAGAAGATATCTCTGTTGCTTAGTTGCTTCTTTTATACACTCTTTTGCTAAACATAATGTTTCATGTCTGCTATACCTTTCAGGTTACTCCTCGTGAAAGGAAGGACTCTGAGATTAGGTATGTTTGTGTTATATACCCTTTTGGCAATTGAAAGTCTGAAGCGTCGTTTATGTTCATCAATTCTGTGTATTATTTTATAAGGCATTTTATCTGTCTTTTTATTAGTGTTGCTCATAGATGTTCGTATATGGTTTATACTCATTTGGACAAAATAGTTGGTTGGAGATCTGGTTTGTTTGCCTCCCTGTAATTATATTCCTTGTCATTCCAGCATGTCATAGGGGGCTGAACGTCTTTCTTAGCGTTGTATGTGAAAAGTTCCATTTCCTTAGATGGTGGTGGCTCATCTGTGGGATGCATCTTGTTGTCAATGCGAATCATACTTGCCTTGTAGTGTTAGATACTTCTCTTTCATGAAATCTAATTGCTTATTTCCATGAACTTTCAACCAATTTTCCTTATAGAAGAGGAAATGAAATTTAGGAATGTTAAGAAGGGGACTTAAGTCCAACTGAACCCCACAAAACGGGTGAGGTTTGTATCCACTACTTATATATTTTAAATTGACCTTATCTCTAGTCGATGTAGGACTTCCAACATACCCTTCTCATGCCGAGGTATATACATCTCGAGAGCAGGACTAGACATTAATGGGTGGTCCCATAGCGGGTGAAACAATATATCCAACTACACAAGTCTCGCTAGGATAGACTCTAACAATGACTTTGACACTATGTTAAGAAACAGATTTTAAGTCTAACTCAATCCCACAAAACCAGCTTGCAAGGTGAGGTTTGCACCTACTTATATATTTTAAATTTGTCTTATCTCTAGTCGATATAGGACTTCCAATAAAGAACAACAATTGACTCCATTTTTTAGGGTATCTCCTTCTTAGAACAATATATCCAACAACACAAGTCTCGCTAGGATAGACTCTAACAATGACTTTGACACTATGTTAAGAAGCAGATTTTAAGTCTAACTCAATCCCACAAAACCAGCTTGCAAGGTGAGGTTTGCACCTACTTATATATTTTAAATTTGTCTTATCTCTAGTCGATATAGGACTTCCAATAAAAAACAACAATTGACTCCATTTTTTAGGGTATCTCCTTCTTAGAACATGTCTCAGTTAGCTTGCTTTTCTTGACCACATCTCAAATAAAAAGCTACACAACCATAGAAACTGAAGCAATTTTTTGAGTTTCCCATCCTGAGGACTAAATATTGTGCACCTAAAAAAAGTAAAAATACAGAATACTTCAATACCCAACCAAAGCATTAAGTATATGATGGAATAGGACATAAAATTGATCCAACCTACACCTGTATGTTGTGTCAGAACCTAGCTAAAGGCAAGTGCAGCCTCCAGAACCTTTCTGATCAAGTTGTAGCTTCCTGTACCATGCCACTGCTGCCTATACCTAGAAGGCCTTTCAAGCTGAGTGCTTCTGAAGTATGCCACAAATACTCAAACGTATGTTTTATTCATTGGGTCACCCAAATAATTGTTAAAAGTTAAAACAAGGTTGTTGTGGCAGAAATATTTAATCTGTTTGTAGCATTCATTATTACTTTGAAATACTAAGTATACTTTTGTGGTTAGAGTCCTCTTTAAAGACGGACCATTAGACCTTTTTTTATTTTATCAATCTTTATACATGAGATAAGTGAGCCTTTTGAACCATGGTTATCTTTTGGGTTTAGAGTTCAATTAAAGTTCTATATGCAATTAATGTATGGTACGAAGCAACATCATCTTTCTATTCTTACATATTATTTACAATTCTTATGCAGGTATGTTCGGCTTGTTATCTCAAGGTTGCATACTAGTCCTGAAGAAATCAAACAGCATCCCAGGTAAATTCACGGACAATATCTGGAACCTTTGCTCTAGCATTAATGTTCGGTATATGTTGTGATGGAAATTGAAAACTGATGAAAATGCTATCAGAAATCAGTAGCTGTAGGTTCTTATGGGATTAAAAAAGCAAATATGTAATAATCGTTCATGGTGTTCAGATTTCGAAATTGGAAAAAAGACGTCGGTCAGAACTAGTGAATATGATGGTTGAGATTTCAATAGAAAACCAAGAGGAACAATGAAAACCTAGGTTTTACAGCTTGTGTTCTTAGGCATTATTTTGTCTGAGACTTCGAATGACTAGGTGAATAAGGTTCATAGCTCTTAATTTATTGGTTCTGTATATTGTTTGGGTGGGGAATTTAAGAGGGTGGGGTTGAGTTGTTTTGCGCTCCTTAGTTGTGCATGAAGCTATGAAGCTCAGACACGTTTGGCGTGTCTCTGGTTCTAACACGTATCGAACATCAACACGCGTACGACACATATTGATGAATTGTCCAATTCAAAAGACATTTTTTTTTCTCTAATATAATTTTTGACACGGTTCCAACATTACGTTAATAAGGATAAATACAATGATTTCCTAAAATGTTAGGTTCCAGACTTGGGAACCTAATATCAATTCTCACTTTCACTCCAAGAAACACAGAAA